ATATATATATATATATATATATATATATATATGATGTAACGTAAAATGTTCCATATTCAAGTCACAAAATATTACCCCATAAAACTTTTTTAATAAGAATATGTCCCCAGCTGTGTGAAAGTTTCTTTTTCTTGCAGCACTTTAACAATCCTTCATGCTGACTGGACATGATCTTTATCAACATGACGGCTGTTTGCACAGGGAGAAACAAAGCCTTTGGCTGATACTTATTTCCACAGTTAGCGCTGCTAACCAAGAGCTGTTTACAAAAGGTTTTAAAGGTTGTATTTATAAACAGAACAAGTAGCTATTTGAAAATGATGCAGCACACAGTAACACGTCTATTGTGGTCCTTCCTATTCGTTATTTTGTTTTTTGTTTTTTTAACTCTGAGTTAATAAGTTAATCTAGCTAAAGCTTTTTTTGTGCAAACAAAAAAGAACATATTTTTATGATGTTTCTGTTGCCTACACACGTTTTACTCCCTCCCTTTAGATGAAATCTGGTGATTAGCTGAGCTGAAATGAGCATATGCTCTATTATCTTTACCCACAATTTCCTGTGTGTGAACCTGTGAAATACGATTGGTTCACACATGGGACAATATGCTTATAGACCATTTATAAAAACGTAATCATCAGTTGCATCTTTGTCTTGGAAGAGGTGGCATTGAAAAAAAGCACAATATCTTGGATAAATGAAAACATTCCTCTTCTGTTCTTTCCTGAAATGGTCACTAGTCATATTTATCTTAAATTTCTTTTTAGAATACATTATCATAAATGCACTGTGCAATGGAAAAGTTTAAAACCTTCTGTACCAGTATCTGAAATTGCTAGCTGGTATTCATGTTCATAATATTAAGGCACTTTTTCCTTTAGGCGGCGTTATCTCCCACCATACCCCACCCCCCAACCAGGCCTTTATGTGTTTTCTCAAACTCATACTGTCAGATCATCTGATCTCGCCCTGCTGCTGGCTCTGCTCATGCTGCTAAGTGGTCTGGTGTCTTCTATCGTCTCGGTGGCCTCTACCTCAGCATTCGCAGAGGGTTCCTCCACTGAGTATTCTTCTTCCACCTCCTCCCCATTCTCATCTCCATGCTTCTCGTCCTCCTCTCCTTCCTCTTCCACAACTTCTACCCTTGACTTAATAGTCTGAACATAGGAAGGCAAAGCTTCATCAAAAGCTTTGGTTTCTGCCTCATCTGTCTTCTCTTCAAATGTCTCAAAGGGAGCAAGGAGCTGTCCTTCCTCCATCACGACCTCCGTCAGGGGAAAAAAGTGAGAGACAGGCTTCTCCTCCTCTAGCAGCTTGTAACCCTTAGCCTTTGGGTTGGTCGGGACAAGAACTGAAGACAGACTCTTCTCAAGGACCAATCTCTCAGCCTGTTGCTGAGGCGCCTTGCGAAAGGTGAAGCGGATCTGCTTCAGCCCCAAATAGGAGATCTCCACAACGTTGAGGAACAGAGAGACAAAGGCCACGGCCACCATGAAGATGATGAACACTGTCTTTTCAGTGGGGCGTGACACAAAACAGTCGACATCGTTGGGACAAGGCCATCGGGCACATTTGTACAAAGGCTGGATGCTGAAACCGTAAAGGTAGTATTGGCCCACTAGGAAACCTACCTCAAACAGCGTCTTGAAGATGATGTGACAGATATAGGTCCTCAGCAGGGTGCCTTCCAAACGAAATTTCTTGCTTCTCTTGCTGCTGCTTTCCTTGGTGGTCTTGAGGCTGCCCTGATCTGGTGCTAAGGGGGGCCCCTCCTCATTTGTCTCCTGCCGCCGGTTCATCTCTGCCTCTTCTCTCTCCTTGCGTTTCTCCTCCATGTGGACGTGGTGCACAGCATGGCCCACATACATCAGCGAAGGCGTGGAGACAAAGATGATCTGAAGCACCCAGAGTCTGATATGGGAGATGGGGAATGCCTCATCGTAGCAAACGTTCTCACAACCGGGCTGTAGGGTGTTGCAAACGAAATCTGACTGCTCGTCCCCCCAGACGAATTCTGCAGCCGTGCCCAGGATTAAGATCCGAAAGATGAAGAGCACCGTCAACCACACCCTGCCTATCACCGTTGAGTGTTCGTTGACTTCTTCCAAAATATTTCCCAAGAAGCTCCAGTCACCCATTGTTGGTAATTACTACTGCAAGGCGGTGAACAAGAAAAGAAAACAGGATGTTAGAAAGCAATCAATTCAGAATGGCGAGATTTCCTGTTGGGCACCAAATCAATTGCTATATTGTTCTAATGTCACCATTGTGCAGCAGGTGTAAGCAAAAAATTAAGGAACAACTGCTGTAAATTCCCTATACATCCTTTATAGATTTCTTAAGAGCTCTTAGGGGTAGTAATATCCTTGTGAAAGCTCCTCACTGCAGACCAGCATCAGAAGAGAGCGGTACGGCTTTTAAAGCTTTCTTCACTCTCTTCAGCTAAGGTAACAGAACAGTGGATCGAATCGCAGTTCAGCAAAGCTAACCATACCAGGGCAGATCTCTTATGAAGCAAGTGATATAGACAAAAGCAGGCAGCAAATGGGCAACTTGCCGACGTGGAGGCGCCAGTCCAGTTGAGGCCACCTTCACTTGGCACGTTGCAGAATGAAGTGAAGTTTGTTCTCAGTCCCTCTGCCACCTAGAGCCAGGTCTTTGCCGTGCCGCTGAGCATGAATGAATTTGGTCCGACGGTCGGGGTTTGGGTTCGTCGCAATATTTAAGCTGACAGCCAGACGGCCTTTATTCACAGGACGATGTGTAGTGATGCAGAAGACAATGGGATCAATGGGTAAAAACGGGATGGTCTGGGAGCCAGTGGAGAAAAGCCATCAAGTGCACTCTACACTGAGGGATCTATACTGCAGAGACCTCATTTGAAGAGCAAATTTCTAAAACTCATTCAGGAAAATTCTGTGGAATTTTTAGTTTTGGAAATTAAATGAAGGTTTTTTTTTTTTTGTTGGATTGCATGAGGACTGAGTGAGTTTTGGTTCCCAATATTGTAACATATGAGTAGGAAGCCAGCAAGCCATTGGCGGTCTCGTGTGTTTTATAATAATGTACTGAGTGAGTTTTGGAAATTTGCTATTCATTTGAATAGAACCAGAATCATAGAATCAGAATCAGGTTTATTTGACCAAGTATGTTCACAGATAAAGGGAATTTGTTTCTGGTTATCAGTGCTTACGTATACAGTAGGTACAGACATGGTTAAGACAAGAATAGACAATGGTCACATAGATTTTGTTGATATATACAATTCATAAGTAACGAACTGCTTGTCCCATTCCGAGTATATTGTATTTCCAATTAATATAATAGCTAATGAACAATGCCTCCCATTTACTACAACAAGAAACAAGCAAAGATTGTCAAATATTTCTGCTTCGATGTGTCACATTATTTAATGATTCTGGTGTTCACATTGCTGCATTTAAACTATTAATTACAGAAGAATAAAAACATTGAAGTGTTTTATATATGTATTTGTTAGTTTGTTTCTGAGACTTGCTGGAATTAATCAATTGTGAACACATTTGACATGTTGGTGATCATTATAAGGGTGTCTGACTGAACCATTGCGAAATAGCAATAAAAACTTACTGTATTGCCAAGATATGTCTTTTACTGATTCCTCATAATGAGCCGTTCCAAATTTCTATTTTTAGGTCAGTTATTTCCTGAAATAATAGGGGATGGAACCAACAATAAAATGTGCCAAATGGAGGAAGATCTCCAGACGACAAAAGTTGCTGACTGGAGGGGTGTTCCTCACAATAAAATTCATGGTCCGGGGGGGTGGAGGCAACATTTGGGTCCGGATGTGAACCGGTCCACCAGTCGGTAACTGCTGCCATAGATCATACTGTACCTATACATCAATGCTGCCCCCCCCCCCGGACCCTCCTCAGATCTGCACAGCCAGACTGACAAGCCAGCAAGGCTGTGGAGTTCGGCTGAACATGTCCCTTTCCCGTCATAACATGGGTCTTTAGACATTCGCTTCTGTTAGGCAACATGATGCTAAAGCAATCAAACGGCTCTATAGTGAAGTGGGGATGTTTTGGCTACAATCAGCCGAAGGAACCAACAATTTCAAAAATTAGCCCAAAAAAATCCTTTTCTTTTTAACATTCTCCTTTTCATGTGGGTATTGCAATTGAGTAGCCTTCTTCCCCAAGTTTTCAGGGGATAGTTTGTCACTTTTAATTTATAACTGAGCTATATTATTGATGTTATATTGTGCTACAGAATTTAAGCCAAGATGTATCATACTTAAAATGCTTTTAATTATTTTGCTTATAATAAACATGACATTTAGGCTTAAAAATCATAGGAATCTGGTATCATAGACAAAGTAGAATAAATATTTAAAATTATTATATTTGCAAATATTAAAAAAAAATAATGAATCTGTCAGATAGGATTAAGAAAGAATAGGGAGTATTTGTTAAGGGTTTTCTGGTGTATTCAGCAATGAATGAATGTATGAATGAAAGTTACAGTCATACAGGGCTTTTTCAAACACTCAAAGCACTTACAATATATTTAAAGGACTTAAAATGGATTTTGGAAAAGTGGTGGTTTGGTGACTCAATAGGTAGAACCGTGGGCTTGGTGACTGTCCAGTAGCGTGTGTGGAGTTTGAGAATCATGCCATTGTTTGTGGGAGTTTCCTCCCAAAGTTCAAAGATACACAAAATGAAGTCCCTGTGTTTTGGTTATTAGGGAGTATGCCCTGGCATTCAGGCAGGATGTTCTCTGCTGCATGCCCTTTCCGGGACGGACTCCAGGCTGGTGTCAACCCGGCAGCAGAGAAGCAGATATAGAATACTGATATAGAATGCATTTTTAAAAAAATGTGTATTTGCACTAGTTTCTTGAATCATTATCAGCTGCAGAGACAACAGCAATCTGACATGACCATTGAAATCTGAGGGCATATTTCTAGAATAGGTGTTTTGTGTTGGCCATGATCTTGGCTGCACTGAAACATTCACGCACAATGTTAAGAGATGACATACCCTTCAGCTGAGTACACTGACATTTTGTGCTCCATGATATAAAAAGTCTGGCTTGACTTTGTGAGGATAAGCAAATACACAGAATACAGAAATAGAATTTATAATAGAATAAAAATAGATTTTATACACCCGGGGGGAATGTGTGGTCATGGGTCCCCTGGCAGATACAGGGGGGCCAGCACCTTACAGTGGCCCATGAATATGTAGGATCAGAGGTAAAATTTGGGTGTGGGAGGAGGGGGGCTAAGGTGACATTTTGTCAGGGGGCCAGCTATGCCCCCGTATGCACGACAACATAAATGCTACTGAATTATGACTTTTTTTATAGAAAATGAAAACGAAAAGGATCACTACACTTCAGTTTATATGATGCATTGAAGGAGCTCATTGCTTATCTTTTGGGAGCTTTGCATCTATGGAATAATCGCCAGCAACCGAGGATCCAGCTGTCATGAAATATGTTGCAGATTGGCACGTGAGTGAAGGATGAAGAATGAAGGAAGAATCTTGAAGAATATTTACATGTCTCTAAAAACAAAGATCAGGATTGTTCAGAATAGGGTAGCAAATGCAGTGACTCTTTATGGATGTGAAAACTGGATCGTGAAGAATCAGGGCACCAGGAGCATGGATGCTTTTGAACTTGGTGCTAGTGAAGACAATAGAAGGCAATGGACCGCAAAGGGAAACAAACACGTGGGTTCTTGACCAAATAAAGTGCCGACTTTATTTGTAACAACCCTGGCCAGGATAAGCAGTTGAAAGATGGATGGATGGATGGGTGGATGGATGGATAAAAATAAACTCCCTGTAGTTTGTGACTGCATGCCATGCAAAGGACTGGCGTCCCATCCAGGGTTTTGCCCTGCACTAGCTAATCAGCTGGAAGTTGGATGCACCCTGTCTAACTCAGTTGCCTCACGCTCTGATTGGTTGATTGTAACTGTATCCCAGTATGTTAGGTACTGTGGACACTATTTTGGATCGTTTGGGTTTCAAATGACAAGCGGACCAGTGGGGGTAAAAAGTGCAAGAAAAATAAGAAAAGGAGTGAAACACTAGCTTTAAACAGCAGTACTTCCATTTATGACATGCTCAGACTTCCATCTACTGCGGCCGCTTGGGGAAAAAAGAACAAGCGTAATTGAATTACACACATTTGCATTGTAATGTGGGAGAGGTTTATTTTAAAGAAAGCAATCGTTTGTGTGCTGCCCAAACTGTTGATATATAGTTCCAGGGCACCAGTTTTTACAAGAGAGGAAAACGCAGCCATGCACACAAGCTGGATAATGCTGTCTGCTGTGCAGACGGAGTGTTTACCCAGAGCAGCATAACACAGCGGCCCTGCACAGCGTCTAACTCGTGAGGTTTCTGTATATGAAGGCATCAGGGTATTTACACACTGTGCTGCTCGTATTTTTCATTCTACAGAAAGTCAGTTTGGAAATGTAGCAAACACATTTATAGATTCAGGACAAGAGTTTACAAACATTTTAAAAGTCAAGTGTTCCTTTGACATACTGAATAAATATTAAGGATTGTGTTGCTTGGAATAATATACTTCATGCAAAGTTGTACTAGTAATTTGATCTACTGTTTTCCTAAACTATTTATAGAGAAATTTATTTTAGATATACATTATATATTGTTTTTTCTGACATTAAATTTCATCATGGACTATAAATCAATAATAAATCTACAAATAGAGCAGAGCAATCGTGCTCATATCTACCATTGAGGACACTGAGGTCATGTCCTGGCTATTTTTTCTGCGACTCCTATAACCGTGATCCACACTTAGGATTGGCTAACACTATTCTCACTCTTAAAAAAAAATCCAGACTACGTCCCTGGCAGCAATATGCAAAACATGGGCAGACAGTTCCTTTATTTTACAAGCATGAACTAGGGTGATTTAATAAAGAAGTAAATCAATGTAAAATTGTACATTGGATAATGGACATTTATAGACTATACTGGACTGTCTTTTTATTGGCTGTTGGTGTCTGTGATATGAGTTCCAAAAGGTGAGACCCCACCCTAAAGCCTGATAAGCCCCTCAGCCTAATCAACACATTGCATGCTGTTGGCTCGGTTAAATCTCCTTTGCCACTGAGCCCAAACAGGCATCTCACCATGAACCACCTGAGGTGGCAATACAATTTTCAGCTTCAAAAAATTAAAAAAACTCTTCCATGTTTGTCAGATTTCACAGTCTACCACTCCTCGGCAGTCACAGGAGGTTCAAATACGAAACACACCCCAGGTTAAATAGCGCATGTGAGGCTTAACTTTAAGGGTTTATTTCGATCCTAAGGTAATGCAGAACTAGTGGGCCCACATTCAACTATACAGTTAATCCATCCATTCCCTGCGTCACAGGAGAGCATCCAGAATCCATACACACAGAGCAGGAGAGGGAATCTAAACTGCAATCCAGGAGATCTGAAGCAAAGATGCTACCTGAAAATGTATTGTTTAAATGTATTGTTTACATGCAGTGAATGTAAAGCAGAAAGTCATGACAGCTCTTACAAGACGGTGAGCTAGCAAGTCATGCATAAAAAAATGAGAAATGTATATTGACATTTAAATTTTCCAGAAAGCTTGGTGAGCCGGAGCAACCGGGGAATAGGGGTCTTGCTCAAGTGTCTAAGGGTGAAATCACTCTGCCAGCCATGGGACTCGAACCAGCAACCATCCAATTACAGCCGCAGCCTCTGAATCCATAAAACTATGCACTGTCCCCGTAGATTTACAAAACGAAATAAAAAGGCAAAAAAATGCTAACTATTAGTGTCACAATGTGGAAACGAAGGAGGTGGGAGCAGGCGTGAGATCAAATAAAAGGGGTTTATTTAAGGAACGGGAACAGGACAAACCGAAGTAGAGCATGTGGGGTCGAACAAAAGGCACAAGTAGCAATAAGGGAAGCACTAGAGAAGAGGCAAGGGCAGCGCTGATGACCGGACTGGGGCATGCAGGACTGAAGGACGCTTTATACAGGGTACATGAGGGAGCAGACGAGAGGCACCCGGGGTGATGCACACGAGGGCTGTAACGAGAGGTAACATTAACCGTTCAACAACAGAGAGAACGAGGGGGAAGGGATGCAGGGTGTGACAATTAGCTTGCGCCAAATACCCTAAATATTAAATATTATTTAAATATTACTTTTCCTCAGGTGGGGGATCACGAGTAATACTCAGAGTAACATACAGTATGTGGACGCTTAGTGATGTATGAACACAATGGAGGGACTGTACTTCCCCGGTAGCAGAGTGACACTGGCGTCCCCCTTTACATGCACTACTTGTTGGTACAGCAGGCAGTCGTGTGCTAAGCCTCCCGCGGGACTGTGAATGGTGGCGTGATCTTGCACAAAGACATGATGTCATAACGGCGAGCCTGGGGTGCATTGAGCTGAGGCGCCGAGCCGTGAGCATGGATGGGGGGGATGAGCG